TTTTTCTTGTAGGCAGCAGCACCTGTCGGGATTGCCATCGTATAGGTATGACGAGATAATGAGGACGACAAAGGAGGACTGTTGTCTCGAGATGAAAAAACGGTCAACCGTAGGATATAGTTGTCTTTAAAGACGCTAACTAGATCTTCACCCGACCTTTTAAATGCGTCGGTATTGTGTTGTAGTATTTATGGTATTCCTTTTTAGAATTAATTACTTGATGGATACCGAATGAGAAATGATATAATCAAGAGGTGCCCAAAAATCGGGATGGTAATACTACAATGCATCCATACGGCAAGGCTCCTGCACTAGGCGCTCGTTCTTAGGCTAACCCTGAGATTTCTTGAGTATGTATATTACGTCTTTGTTGTTAAAGTAGTAGGTGAGTTGAGATTCCGACGCGGTTGACCTTGGGATGAAGAGTTCAAGTGCTTGCCATACATACCTGACAAAACGGACTTGTTCCAATGAAGGGCTGTCTACATGTACTTTTGTACCTAATACTCACAATTTGAGGCTGAGGACCCCACATGATAGCAAAAGCCACATTGAGCCTGGCTCAGCATTTGTGATGGGAGATAGGTATGTACCTACCTACGTTGTACTTAAATATCCCGGTATGAATAAGCATTTCAATTGGACATAATATTTCAAGATGTATGTATGTACAGCTCAGTAACCAATATGACAAGGGTTGCTAGCTTCTATGACGGCGTGCCGAAACGACTTCAACTAAATAAATATCTGTAGTATGAGCGGTGTCTTTACCGCATCTTTATGACTCCTACAAGTTTTACGGGTCAACGGGATCTACTATGTAGTGTTAAGTGTAGTGTTCAGTTATTTGGATAGTTTCATATCTCCTAAGCACGAACTCCACTATCAACGTAGAATGCGCTCATGCGCTCATGAGCTACCTAGTACATACTGTAACAACCTCCAAGCCTTAGCTGAGCCAACTGCCGTCTCGTCCTGTGACACACATTGCGTGGATTAATTAGCGCCTTGATAGCAAGCCTCGCGGATGGAATGTATGCTGTGTGATTGTTCTATGTATAAAAAATGTGTGATATCGTATAAGTGCAAACCAAGCTATTTGAGCGATTAAAAATGCCTCGATTGTAGAATCTATGTTAAGTGTTGTTTAAGAGAAAAAAGTCTAGGTTACCAAAGCCTCGGTGGTTTTTAGGATTTTTTTACGGCAAGAATCGGGCCTTTCTACCGAATTAAAACGTCAGGATTGAAGCCGCCGCCCTAAACCAGCCTAACCCAACTGTGTTCCAGAAGCCGAATTTAGCCTATAAATTCAAGTTTAACGTTTAACTGCATACAGCGACAGCCGAACAATACGGGCTATAAACATATATAGTACTGTTTAATCGTATAGTCGGCATTACCGGGTCTTCTTGGCTCCTAGATCTGCGACCGGGTGACGACAGGGGCAGGGGCAGTCGCAGTTCGCTACGTTTTTCATTTTCTCCATCCGAACTTGGGGAGCATGACCATTCCCAGTCTATCCCAGTTTCTTTCCTCCAGCACCTCAACTCACTAAAGGTACTGTTCAAACCTAGACTTACTCCGCCGCTCCTTAATCTCTTCTCGAGATAATAGAATCTCGTCCTTTGGTAGGAGTTTAATAAAGTCGTTTGCTGGGGTTTTTACATGCCCGAGTAGACAGCAAGTTTGTCATTTTTCCCTATACGATCCTAATACATTTCTATAGCTGTCGAAGCATCAGCCTGGCGCCATGCTGAGTAGCACCCTCCGATCTTCGAGCAGCCAGCTTCTTAGAGCCAGCTGCCGTACCTCGAAATGTATTTCCCAATCTTCGAGATGTTTCTCCCTTAGCGCCGCTCGTCGTCCTCTCGCCATCGCAGCCCAGAAGAGGTATTCCTCTACCACGACCTCGGCACCCTCTCCTAATGATAACTTCCTATCCGGTAACACTGCCAACTACATCGATGAGATGTATCTGCAGTGGAAAGAGGATCCGGGGAGCGTCCATGTGTCATGGCAGGTCTACTTTAAAAACATGGAGAGTGGCGACATGCCCATCCAGCAAGCTTTCACTCCTCCTCCCACTCTCGTTCCCAATGCGACTGGTGGTGTTGGACCAGCCGTGGGCGTAGGAGTCGGTCACGGCTCTGACGTCACGAATCATCTGAAAGTACAGTTACTAGTTCGCGCGTATCAGGCTCGTGGCCACCACAAGGCCGATATCGACCCTCTTGGCATTCGCAACGAGCCAAGAGGTTCTTCGAATACTAAGATTAAGGAGTTATCCCTCGACCACTACCAGTTTACCGAAAAGGATCTTGATAAGGAGTTCACCCTAGGCCCAGGTATCCTCCCGCGCTTCAAGCGAGAAGGTCGAGACAAGATGACTCTCCGCGAGATCATTGCCGCTTGCGAGAATATCTACTGCGGGTCCTACGGTGTCGAGTTTATTCATATCCCTGATAGGGCTAAATGCGACTGGCTGAGGGAGCGCGTCGAAGTCCCCCAACCCTTTAAGTATTCGATTGACGAGAAGCGCCGAATTCTCGACCGTTTAATCTGGAGTTCCAGCTTCGAATCTTTCTTGGCTACCAAATATCCCAACGATAAGCGATTCGGTCTGGAGGGTTGCGAAACCCTCGTGCCCGGAATGAAGGCGCTTATCGACCGAAGTGTCGACTACGGCGTTAAAGATATTGTCATTGGAATGCCTCACCGTGGTCGTCTTAATGTGCTCAGCAACGTCGTCCGCAAGCCGAATGAGTCCATCTTCAGCGAATTTGCAGGTACCGCTGGTGCTGAAGATGAAGGGTCAGGAGATGTCAAATACCATTTGGGTATGAACTTCGAGCGTCCTACACCCTCTGGCAAGCGAGTTCAGCTTTCTCTCGTGGCCAACCCTTCTCATCTTGAAGCCGAAGACCCAGTCGTTCTGGGAAAGACCAGAGCTATCCAGCACTACAACAATGATGAGACGACGCATCGAACTGCCATGGGCGTATTGCTACACGGTGACGCCGCTTTCGCTGCTCAGGGTATCGTATATGAATGTCTTGGTTTCCACTCCCTCCCGGCCTTCTCAACCGGTGGAACAATCCACTTGGTCGTCAACAACCAGATTGGTTTCACCACTGACCCTCGATTCGCTCGTTCGACCGCGTATTGTACGGATATCGCCAAGGCTATCGATGCGCCTGTCTTCCACGTGAACGCTGACGACGTTGAGGCCGTGAACTTCGTCTGTCAATTGGCCGCGGATTGGCGCGCCGAGTTTCAATCTGATGTCGTTATCGATCTCATCTGCTACCGCAAGCATGGTCACAATGAGACGGACCAACCCTCCTTCACTCAACCCCTGATGTATAAGCGCATCAGTGCCAAGGACCCTCAAATCAACATTTACGTAGAGAAGTTGCTCCAGGACGGTACTTTCACGAAAGAGGACGTTGAAGAGCACAAGCGATGGGTCTGGGGTATGCTGGAAGAAAGCTTTGCCAAGTCTAAAGATTATCAGCCAACATCCAAGGAGTGGACTACATCTGCCTGGAACGGCTTCAAGTCCCCCAAGGAATTGGCGACTGAGGTTCTACCGCACATGTCGACCAGTGTCGATCAGAAGACTCTGGAGCACATTGGGGAGGTCATTGGTTCTACTCCTGAAGACTTCCAGGTTCATCGCAACCTAAAGCGTATCCTGCAAAACCGCACCAAGTCGGTACTCGAGGGTAAGAACATTGACTGGTCGACCGCCGAAGCTCTCGCCTTCGGTTCGCTCGTCACCGAGGGCAATCACGTTCGTATTTCCGGCCAAGACGTAGAGAGAGGTACATTCTCGCAACGGCATTCCGTCTTCCACGACCAAGAAACTGAGAACACATACACACCCCTACAACACGTCAGCAAAGACCAAGGCAAGTTCGTTATCTCTAACTCATCCTTGAGTGAGTATGGTGCTTTAGGGTTCGAGTATGGTTACTCGTTGTCGTCGCCAAATGCGTTGGTTATGTGGGAGGCTCAATTCGGTGACTTTGCCAACAACGCGCAATGTATCATCGACCAGTTTATCGCCTCTGGCGAAGTGAAGTGGATGCAGCGAACCGGTCTAGTCATGTCTCTCCCCCACGGTTATGACGGACAAGGCCCCGAGCATTCTTCTGGCCGTATGGAACGATATTTGCAACTCTGCAACGAGGACCCGCGCGTATACCCGTCCCCGGAAAAGCTCGAGCGCCAGCATCAGGATTGTAACATGCAGATCGCGTACATGACTACGCCTGCTAACCTGTTCCATATTCTTCGCCGACAGATGCACCGACAATTCAGAAAGCGTGAGTTATTCATACGAGATTTACTATGGTGTATATGATTGCTAACTGTTATAGCCCTAATCATCTTCTTCTCCAAGTCGCTACTACGACACCCTCTAGCCCGTTCCAACATCGAGGAATTCACTGGCCCTGATGCTCATTTCAAATGGATTATTCCCGACCCGGAGCACGAAGCTGGTAACATCAAGTCTCCCGAGGAAATCGAACGAGTCATCCTCTGTACCGGTCAGGTGTGGGCAGCGCTTCACAAATACCGCGCCGACAAGAAGATCGACAATGTTGCACTCACTCGAATTGAGCAGCTAAACCCCTTCCCGTGGGAGCAACTCAAGGAGAACCTAGACACCTATAAGAATGCCAAGACCATTGTCTGGGCTCAAGAAGAGCCCCTCAATGCTGGTGCATGGAGCTTTACTCAGCCGCGTATCGAAACACTCCTGAACGAAACTCAATACCACGACCGCAAGCATGTTATGTACGCCGGCCGAAACCCTTCAGCATCGGTTGCCACTGGTCTAAAGGCTGCTCACAAGAAGGAAGAAGAGGAGTTGCTAGAGATGGCGTTCACAGTGACACAGGATAAACTAAAGGGCGAGTAGATGGAAAGGAAACCAAAAAGTAGAGCATTGTCATGAGGACGGGGCGAGCATTGTTATTTTCATGTTTTTGTATTTTATCTTGTGTATAAGGCGGCCTCGGGGACCACAATCGAGGCTACATAGACGGACGGTTGCTAATGGGTTTCCAAGTACCGTAATGGATGATTTTGAACCTTCAAGCCATGTGTATGCTGTGTATGCTGTGTGATTCTTATCCGACGCCGAGCGTAGCAACTGCATATGCACACCATGTATTCCCCGTGCGGAGAATGGGCATCTATCGGACCGGGATGTTCGAGAGAGGTCATTGCTTTGCCGAGTATGATACTATGTACCTACCCAAAGAGAGCTGGGGTAATGATAAGCACCTTGTTTCTCAACCCCGATTTGCCAATGACGGCAACTTGCTTTATCTTGGATATCACACATGTCAGCCCTGTGACGAAATTCCGTTACCTAGCACCAACAAAAAAAAACTGTAATGATACCAGCCACCATGTCTCGGAACGAGATTCGGATGGTTGCTTTTGTAAGATTCAAATATATGAAGAGGTCTCCGCCAACGTAGATGGTCTCACAAGCAGTCTTTAAAGTAAGGCTTGAAGACAAAAGCCGTCTACTTCATATACGTCACCATAGGGTCTAATGGGATAGTATCAATTGGAGCAGCCCGACCATTACGCCAGAGCAAATCCCTCTCAGTGCGATCGTAAGGATGGACTCGTTCACCTTTCGACAGCGAGGCTATGCCATTAAGGAGAAGGCTCGAGCTCGACTGACGGACGGGCATAGCTGGAAATTGCCCAAGCAGACTAGCAGCATTGCCCCGGCTCATATATGGACAAATGCTGGTATGTCTATCTTCATTCCATACTACGTGTATTATTGACAATATATAATATTTATATATTTATATATTCGTATATTTATCTTTATATTTATGTAGCCACTAACCCGCGTAATAGACCAAGATCCCGTCCCAGAGGAGAAGCAGACGTGGACCAAGTGGGCGTTCATCGGCTACTGGTACTCTGACTTGGTGACTATATCGACATGGACTGCTGCCAGTGCTATAATGACGACTGGCTTGACGGCTACTGATGCTGTTCTTATCGTTCTTGTTGCGGCTATAGTATGTATTGCATCTCTTGCTTTATTTAGGAGTCCAGGCTCTCAGAAGAGCCATGTACTCACTCAACACCACGCTGATGTATATCGTGCTTGTAAATATTAATTAACTACCGTAGTGCAACGCGATCCCGACAGTCCTCAACGGTGCCATCGGCGCTGACTTGCACATCCCGTTCCCTATTGCCTGTCGAGCTAGCTACGGTTACTGGCTAAGTTACTTCTGCGTCGTGACGAGAGCCATCCTGGCGCTGTTCTGGTTCGGCGTCCAGAGTGCCAACGGAGGAACCTGTGTGACTGCTATCATCACCGCCATCTGGCCGAGTTACGCGAGACTCCCTAACACACTACCCAAGTCGGCGGGTACCACGAGCCAGGGGCTGCTGAGCTACTTCATATACTGGTGTATCCAGTTTCCCCTGCTCATGATCCCGTCGCATAGGCTGCAATATCTGTTCTGGGCCAAGACGGTGTTAGTCACGCCAATGGCGCTGGCGATGGTCATCTGGATCACGGTGGTGGCCGGTGGTCAGGGGGATTTCTTCTACGCGCCGGCTACGGTGTCTGGGTCTACCAGAGCATGGCTATGGCTATCGAATCTAGTACGTACCTACCTAAGACAAGACAGCCTCAAACATTCATCATATATCTATCCCATCCCACTAACCACCCCCAGACCAGCGTAACAGGCGGCTACTCCACCCTAGCCGTAAACATCCCCGACTTCTCGCGCTTCAGCAAGACGCGCGGCGCCCAGCTCTGGCAACTTCCCTTCATCCCCATCTTCAAGACCGTCGTCGGCGTCTTCGGCATCGTCTCCGCCAGCGCCTCGAAAAAGGTGTACGGCACCGTGTACTGGTCCCCGCTGGAAATCATCGGCCAGTGGCAGGGCTCGCCCGGCGGGAGGGCAGCGGCCTTCTTCGCCGCGGCCATCTGGCTGCTCGCGCAGATCTCGGTGAACATCAGCGCGAACGCCATCTCCTTCGCCAACGACGCCACGTCCCTCGCGCCCAAGTGGCTCAACATCCGCCGCGGCGTGGTGCTGGTGGCGCTGCTGGGCGGCTGGGCTTTGTGTCCGTGGATCATCATCTCGTCGGCCGCGGCGTTTCTGAACTTCATGAGCGCGTATGCCATCTTCATGGCGCCCATTGCGGGCGTTTTGATCTGCGATTACTGGCTTGTCAAGAAGCGCCGGTACGACGTCCCGGCCCTGTATGATCCCGATGGGATTTATCGGTACAGATGGGGCGTGAACTGGCGCGCTCTGGTCCCGACGCTGCTTGTTATCATGCCGCTTCTCCCGGCTTTGGCGAAGAAGGTCACGCCGCAGAATGTGGATATTAGTCAGGGGCTCGTGAACCTGTTTACGTTTAACTGGTTGTATGGGTTTTTCGTGTCGGTTGTTATGTATTACGCTCTGAATTACTTCTTCCCGGACGAGACTACGTTAATACCGAATATGGTTCCTGGAGTTGTTCCGGTTCTACGCGCAGTTAATGCGGATGTGGATGTGGAAAGCGGTTCGGCTCGGGATGAGAAGATGAGGGGGGAGGTGAAAGCAGAGCAGGATTAGGTCTGCTTCAGTTGAGAGTTAATGAATGACATTATAATGTGTGCGTATTGCCTCGTCTATGCTATGGATATAGGGGATATCTATAAAGAAAATAGTTGTATATATCCCAGGAAATATAGGAGCGAACTCGTGTAACCTAGTTGTTTTCATATCCTCCTAATAATACCAACCCAGTAGTAGTTAAATTACGCCAAATATCCAGATCTCCCTACCATAGCCAATAGAGAACCACGATGCAATCTAACCACTATAGCAGTCTACTTCGCGACGTCCGCCTCCTACCCGCGAGCATCCCCGAGGACACGGATACTTAGGGTCATTCTGCCACGCGAACAGCGGATCCGTCTCGTTCGTGAGGACATCAGCAATCAGAGCGCTTGAACTCGGTAGGCCCGACGACCGCCGGAACACCTCCGCGGACGGGATCTGGATCTGGTCCCAGCCACGCTCCACAAGCGTGTCGATCGACGTGCCGTACACATACTCCCTAAACCCGGCGAATCGCACCGCAGACGCGCACATCGGGCAGCTCTCGGCGTTGGTATATAGCGATAAGTCTGCGAAGGCGGCGAGTGCCTCTTTGGGTGAGAGTTTGTACGGCCCCGAAGGGTCTGTTAGGATCTGCGTGCAGTTGTTGATAGCTGCAATTTCTCCTGTAGTCGTGGTTGTGAGTCTTTTTACAGCAAGAAAGAATATATTCGTAATTTGTATATAGGTACGTACCATGAAGCGTCGGGTTTCCGGTTGCGCTCCTGTTGTTGGCGCCTGTACAGACGAGCTTACCGACTATCTATATCCTAGTAATGACGATGTACTAAAGAAGAGAAGATGTCGTTATTGTTCCCTGTTACAAGACATTACACGTTGACCTCCGTTGGAGACCCTCGGCCCGTCTCTTGATACCGTATGCGGTGACTCGTATCAACGGCCATTTCCGATAGATAGCCCATGCATGTTGGACCCTTGGTGATAGAGCGTATCAACGCCGACAACAGACTATATCAATCATTGTCTCCCCCCCTGGACGATTATGTCTCTTATGAATAAATACATGTCATAATATAAGGTAGTTAAATAAATAAAAAATACTTCATAATGTCGCCAAGCGCTACTATTCCAGAGGCGACCTTCACGGTCACGCCGATGAAGAAATCTCCCGACGATAAACATGACTATGGTGCAATCGTCAGTGATATAGACCTGAATGATATCAATGGTAAGCACCACCCCCACCAAGCCATGGCTCGGGTATTCAACATCAGTCAGATATCGACGTCCGCCACCTGGCAGACGCTATCTGGACCCATAAAGTAGTCGTGGTCAAGGGGCAGAAGAACCTCGCGCCGATAAAGCATTGGGAGCTGGTAACGCGCTTCGATCCCAATGCGCCACAAGTTCACTCCCACGGCGATTTGAAGACTTTCAACAGCAAGGGAGGTTTGCTTTCTGTAAGTGACATCGAAGCCCTCTGATATGAGCAAAAGGAAATCCTGAAAGTAAGACAAGAAAACCCTCGAAGTAGTAGGTATACCGGGCGCCGAGAACGTCCGCCTAATCGGAAAGGGCTTCCAAGGCGAAGACCACTATGGCATCAAGAACAAGAACATTACTAGACCGCTCTCCGACGACTGGCATGACAAAGAACTTCCGCAAGAGGAGTTCGAGCAGGGGAACACCCGCTTTCAGCGCTGGCACATGGACGCGCCTCTCTACGGGAGAGATCCGGCGTGGTTTACGACCCTGCGCTGCGTGAAGCGGCCTACCGTGCCTCAAGTCAACATTCGATGGGACGACGGGTCCGGCCTCAGCATGAAGGCTGATCCCGGGCTTACGGCGTTTATTAGTAACGTTCAGATGTACGAGATGATGACGGAGGATGAGAAGAAGATGGCAGATCACAGCTGGGTCGAATATGCACCTCATCCGGTAAGTGATTTATTCTGTAGTTATGAATATTTGGACGGCTAGTAATCGTTGACAATAAAATAGTATATGTGGATCGGCGACTGCAAAGGGAATTCCAACGGGCTTGGTGTTGTCAGCCAGGGCAAAGAAAAGCAGCTCGAGGATCTAGGTGGCTTCGACCCGAAGGATGTAAAAACATATCCCCGTACGTATCAAGGACATGTCGAACCCCCAAACTCCCGCTTTCAGAATGAAATTATTAATTCTCGGTACAGTGGTCTGGGTCAACCCCGTAACAGGCGAGAAAGCCTTCCAAGTCCACGGAATCTGCGCAAGGAAGCTCTTCATCCGCTCGTCTCCTACGGAAGAACCCAGGGTAATCGAAGATCTCGTAGAAATCAGGAAGTTACTAAAGACTATCCAAGAGAGAGTATTGAAGCCGGAGTATATCTTGATTCCGAGTTTAGAAGAAGGGGATATTGTCATGTGGGCCAACTATCAGATGTTTCATACGGCAATCGACTATCCCGACTGGTTTGGTCCACGGACTATGCACCAAGCCAATATTGCCTCATCGGTTGGTCCGGTAGGCCCAATACCGATTCCGGTCCGGACTTGAGGTTTAATATTCAGACGCTGGTAGCGACCCGCTTGGATGTTTTATCTGGGAGCCTCAAGATATCCTATATCTACCTATGTAGCTGGGTATCTATTTCATATACAATGACTCGCCGCTAGATTAATAGGGCTGTTTCGTTGAAGGTGATTATTCAACCTATACTATTAACCTTACGAGTATCATGGTACTCAAGTTTACCACCTTCATTCCTTTTTTATACCTATCGTCGAGTAACCTGAGTTAGGAGTCTCTTCGACATTTCCCATAGTCTTTTAGGTAGCGTTTCAAATGGGCACGTAAACCAATTATAAGATTAGCCGATTCCTCAATCGAGTGCTTTCTGGGCGAGTTCGTCTGCTAAACGCTTGATATAAAAGTCTCGCATATCAGACGGTAGCTTACCGAAGCTGTTTGCGATACGTGCAATATCTTGACGACCCTTTTCGTACTGTAGTGCCTATAGTCAGTTGTGATTACGTGTAAAATAGCTTGACTGATAGAAATGGATAGTAGTATAAATGTATAATAGTTTAGAACTTACAGCTGCAAGGTCCCGGTTTCCGTATACATCCCTTCCGCTTGAGTAACCATTTTCAAGGTTACGGAAGAAGACGTTAACAGCGACCCCTAAGTTGCTCAATGGAGTGGCAGTATGTAGCCAAAGAGGCGGGAGGAAAAGTATATCGCTAGGTTTCAGTACAGCCTCTTGAGGGTGTGTCTCGGCAAGAGAAGGCGACTCAAGTTCGGAAAATACATCAATGCTCGAGCTAGATAAACCTGGTGCAAATGACAGCTTGGTAACATCCGACGGCGGGAATAAGATGAATCTTTTAGAGCCCACGATTTGGCAATATACGTTTGCCATGACCTGGTATAATGTCAGCCAGTTATACTAAACGCCAGACTCGCGATTCCGCTTACGTCGTAATGAAGCCACATATTAACTGGCCCAGTGACCCGCAATACGGAACTGAATTCGTTATATTTTACAAATGAGAGCGCATCGGGTAGTTGGAAATCCTCGGTCAGTTGCGGGAAGTCGGTCTTGATATTAGCCGGCTGATCAGATGGGTGATCTCCTGAAAGGGCACGCAGATATAGCTTTTGGCCATTTGAGATCCCTTGCATAATATCTCCAAATTTCTTCGTGACGTATGCAAAATTCTTGCTGTTAAAATCCATCTTCTGACTATCGGCTTCATGAACAACGACCTAGTGACATGATTAGGTTAGATCATATATGGAACCTGGAATAATCATTACCTCTTTATCAGGGCCAAGCTGTTTTACGATATAGTCTGATGTCCAGGTCTGGGTACAACTTCCTAATTGGCTTGCCTCGAAAACGACAGGTTTTCCAGCCTTTAAAACTGCTGAAAATTCGTCTGCTGTATTGATCTGAAGCCTAGGTATCTCAACCTTCTTTATTGCCTCCCTGTTCAAAGAAGTAGAGGCATGATTCCGTTCTGTCTCTTCCGTAAGTTCGACAATTCTTGAGTGCTTCCATATTCCCCTGTTGCTGTGTGATGTCGGTACCCCGGTAGTAAAGGCCTTAGGGGTGTACCTTAGTGTATAACAGCCCGGATTCCAGAATGTTCCCATGGAGAAGCATGTAGCACCTCCACCCATTACAACCAATTGACCATCGTTGGCTTGCTCGATTGAAACCCCTATAAGTAATGGCCTAGGAGTGACTGCAATTTGACAAGCGGAGACAATTTTATAATGTAGACCGGAGATATCTATAATCAGTACATCAAGATCTCGCGTGACCATGTCGTTTGCGAGGATGCCCCCAATTATAGTCAGATATCCTTCCGGAGAGATAAAGCCAGAGGCACCGTAGCGGTTGATTAGGCCGTCGGGATGGTTGAATTTATGCATCTCCCGTGCTGACGAATTAGGAGGATTTGAAGTCGATAAAGTTGTAAATGAAATTGTAGGCTTGCCATTTTCTGGAAGTACCAAAGCCCATCGCAAAATCTGCTTAGCGATAACACCATCTCGAGAGATGCCACCTACCATGATACCATCAAATTCAATACCATCGTTTGCCGCGGAATTGATTGGTCCTCCAAGACTAGCTAACAGGCTGCCAAAGGCTGGCTCATATTCTGACCCCTGAATCTCGCACTCAATCCAACCCAAGCCTGGTCGATAGAGGAGACACCCATTGAAAATAGTTGATGCGTCAGATTTACCTCCGACTAAAAGAGCGAGGTCCGAATTGCCGAGTCTTGCTATTCCATGCCGGTATAGTGGCATTGGGAGGTCATCCACCCGTTGCCATTTATTGCTTCCTTTATGGAGGAGCCAGCAATCTCGCAGAGCGCTTGCCGGAGAAGTTCTGCCTCCCACCAGGAGGTTTCCATACTCGCCTAAGTTCGTAATAGTATGGCACATGCGACTACTTGGGCCAGTATGATGCGTCTTGACATCTTGTAGAGTTGACTCGCTAACATAGAGGTCATATGACCTTAATCGACTATTCGTCCCAAGTCCGAACGTATTAGATAAGAACTCTTCCCCTAGGTGGTTCTTTAACTTCATCGCAGCGCCAAATCGGCGTTGTCCGCGAGTACCAGAATATTCTCTGAAGTCGGCGTCTAGGGACAATACAGGAGCCTCGGGTCTCTTAAGATCCCTGGAGATGCTGGTAGCCGCTTGGGTTGTTACCGGGTTTGTCTTGGCGATAACCACGCAGTAATGGGCAGCGAAAATTGCAAACTCTTCCCATTCGTCAAAGGGCTCAATCTCGTCGAGCTTTCTCCTCTCGTCTGCCGAAATCCACTGGTCATCAGCCCATATTTGCCAGAGAGTGCTAACGTCGACCTGTGGCCAGCCCCTTTTGACGAAACGATCCCGCTGGGCATTGATATCCGGGTAGGTGAAAACAGATTTTAGAGGAGTTTTCAACTTCTCAAAATGCGCCAGCATCGTCTTTGCAAATGGATGGTCTTCGCCATCTGGAATAATTTGCTCGAGTAGACAGAATTCGGCTAATCTTTTTCAGTCCCTAGTAGTTATGATTGATATATTAGAATAACATACCTTGTCCAAGAGTGCTAGCCCATTGAATGACTGAATTTGCGCCTTCAGTCTCCATATATGTAATAGAGACCTCTGCTACGAACATGAACTCGCAGTGAGCTATATCAACAACAATTGAAAGCGCCCGTTCTATATCGGAGAGATTGCGCAAGTCGCAACCGATCTCGACATACTGGTCGCTCTGCAGTACTACATGGTTTCCCACATTCGTTTTCAGCCCAGTTAACGGGGACCTGAGCTCAGGAGTATCCTGGACGACCCGGCTTTTCTTTTCTATCAAGTCAGGAAAATCAATGTCCACGAATTTGGCATTTTGGCATTTGTTAGGGTATCTAGTCATACACTGCCATGGGAGCACGTCACTACTAAAGATTAGGGACCATATCGAATATAACGGCGAGATATAAACCTACCTTCCACAGCCTAGATTTATGACTACCTTCTTCTTCTCTGAAGGCCTTTCGAGGAATCGACGAACAGCAACATCAATCACATGTAGTCGAATATGATAGCCTCGATTGATCAACGGAGCTCGCCGCTGGAATTTCTTTACGAAGAAACGAAAGAAGTGAGGTTCGTTTGGATAGTAGATACGTTCTACGCTCCTTTTAGATACGATACTGCTGCTGTTTGTCTTGAGGGGCAGATTAGAAAATTAAGATATGTGTATGGAAGGTAGAAACAAGACGCACAGCCATAACCAGATCGTCTAGGGCTCGTTGCTTTGTTGAACGGCCCGGGCCTTGCTGGCCCTTGACTTTGGTGGTAGTAGCCATCATAATCAAAGGAGACACGTGTGAGAGTAATGCTGTAGGTGTGGTTTTGTAAGAGTATGAGTAACGATAGGCCAGTTGAGAGTAAGATAATTATTAAGTGAGCAAATCTTATCAAGTTTGCCTGTAGTTAATCTATCTTTGGATAAGACCGAGATGTATTTTCCCTTTACGTGCATTTAATATACTATTCTTGAATTCGAGGTTCATTTTTAAAAACTCGTCTTTCAAAATATATATCTTAGGTAGGTTAGTTAATAAGAGTTGTCGCATTACTTAATTCAAGAAAGAAAAAGAAAAAAAAAAAGAAAATTGTGCTAACTTTTTAACCCTTAAGTCTGTCGTAGTTGAGACTCGTCTTGTTCGAGCAGTGACGCACCTACATAGTACCTAAGCTACACAACCTTAGGGAAGGTACTATAAAATGTACCTAGGTACGTGGCTTAGCATGCGGTACCTAGTGATCAACGCATGGGTTCATCAGCAGGCACGAGTCTAAAAGACCTAAGCTAAGATCCACAGCTACAAGCTACAGCGCAATAGCGTGCTATTAACGGTTTTAAAAGGTGCGTGTAACGATACGTAACCTGGTGGTTCCCCGCCTGACAATAGCATCTGATTGATGATTTCAGTCTTTCTCCCCCACCCAAAATCTAAATTCCAACCTCCTCGGATTTTTAGCATATCCAGCTTTCCCCGAGTATTGACAGTATTGACGAATCTAGGAAGCTTAGGAAGTTACAGCACAGCTTTCCCAGCAGCTCGACGTCTCAGCTCTTCCCCTTACGCCGTCCTAACGAATGAAGCTGCTACTGTAGCCTAACTTGTTGATTTCCCTTTGTCATGACGGGGAAAGAGATACTCGACTGAGACGGCTTTGACGCAGAGACCGCCTTTAAATTGGAGTCGGACTTACAGGCAAAGCTTCATACATACCTAGGTATTCACCATATTATAACTTTGAGGCGTTATAATCGAGTACATCTTACACCCAGCTATTTAATATAGAGCTGCAATAGTTATTCCTATTTTCAGTCCCGAATCACCCGTTCTACTTCAGCCATGTCGAACCCGGCTCTCAATTTCGTCACTTTCAATCAAGATCACAGCTGCCTAGCTGTCGGTATGTCAATTCTTGTCTTAGCTCTGTCTCCATCCCGGTAGTATACCGTAGGGGTAATAAGTCCTTAAGAAGCTAACGACGATAGGTACCTCGAGGGGATTTCGTATCTACCACACCGAACCGTTCTCCAAGATCTTCAGTAGCGATGATGGCAACATCGCTATTGTCGAGATGCTTTTTTCAACTTCGCTCGTCGCTTTCGTCCTCTCCCCTCGCCATCTAATAGTCCAAAATACGAAGCGCGCCTCCGTTATATGCGAACTTACCTTCCCATCTGCAATCCTTGCCGTCCGCCTAAATCGCAAGCGATTGGCTGTTGTGCTCGAGGACGAGATCTACCTCTATGATATAACTACTATGTCACTCCTTACTAATATCGCGACCTCTCCGAATCCTGCCGCTGTGTGCGCATTGTCGCCTTCCCACGAACACTCGTACCTCGCTTACCCTTTGCCGAAACCCCGCGAAGATACACAGGATAAGCGACCTTCGCATGCGCCGCCAGCTTCGCTCTACGCCCCCGTAACGTCCGGAGACGTCCTTATATACGATACATTGACTATGCGGGCCGTTAACGTAGTCGAGGCACATCGCTCTCCCTTGTCCTGCATTGCGCTCAACAGCGAAGGGACCCTGCTAGCAACAGCTAGTGAGACGGGGACAATCATCAGAGTATTCTCAGTGCCCCGCGGGGAGAAGCTTTTCCAATTCCGACGTGGAACATATCCCAGCACGATCTATAGCATGTCCTTCAATATGGCGAGCTCGCTTCTCTGCGTATCTTCCACTTCAGATACCGTACACATATTCCGACTCCAGCAGCCAGGGCCCAACGGTAACAACCCTGAGGCGCAGACTCCTGCCTCTCCTCGGAAAGATCGTTGGTCTCGTAGTCGTAGCTATGATAGTGGTAACGACTCGTCTAATAGCGCACAGGGCTCTCCACGAAGTGAGGCGGCTGACGTTCCAACATCGCCAAAGAATCACCCCGTGGCGAGTAGGAGGCAAAGCGGGTCGTTTAGCAGCATGCTACGCCGATCGTCGCAGATAATGGGTCGCAGCGTAGCTGGCGTCGTCGGTAATTATCTACCACAGACTGTGACGGAGATGTGGGAGCCCCTGCGCGATTTCGCGTACATCAAGATACCAAAGAGCACGTCCACAGCACCACGCCCAGGCGCAGCGGGCAACCAACAATTACGCAGCGTAGTGGCGATGAGTAGTAGCAGCCCACAAGTTATGGTTGTTACCAACGACGGCGGGTTTTACGTATTTAACATTGATATGGACCAAGGTGGAGAGGGCTACCTTGTGAAACAGTTCTCGTTCGTGCTACCGCCTTCTTGTCTCTCTTCTTTGTTCGAGTCCTAGCCCAACTAACCATTATCCTTCTAGTGTCCTCGATAGCGACGATAAGCTCGATGCCTCTAATTATGGACCGTAGAGCAGTCATACCGGCACGGGCAATCCTTCAGACAATCTAGACAGAATAATTGAAGAACAAATAAAGGTAGGAGAGGAGGAAGATGACGATGATGATGGGGACCTCGGGGGTGACAATTGGCAGCACGTCACAATAGGGAATTAGCATCCGGACGGCGTTAACGGTTATGTAGTCGGGAGCATGGTGTTCTGTTCTCCCTCCTTTTCTTAATTCCACAGCTAATCTCTGTACCACGGCGAAAGCCCTACTGTCTGAGAACTATCATACACCAGAGAAGGAGGATTGTTTGTATTTTGTGTGAAGGAGAGCGTCGTGTTTTTGCATTAAGCGTCTGGCGTCCAAGCGGCCTGGGTTAATAGTTACGAAGTTACCGAGTATCATCATCTACTTCCCAATACAGATTAATAATATTCACCGTCGAAGATAACAAAATGTTATTAGTAGTGGCAATTTGTTAAACACACGTCAGCATCGAGGCGGAATCCAGTCTGGAGTGGTATTTGTCCACTGTGGCACAGTCCTAATCCCCTTGACAGTCTTATTATTTGAAGATGATATCCAGTTTCCGTAATCCCTAAACCCTTCGAATTTCCTTCCAATCCAATCCAACCATCCATCCTTCACATACATGTACGTATGTAGGTACGTACTACTTGCTACAACAGTGCTACAATAAACGATTCAAACGTAAGTTAATGCTTGACCCCAATCCAACCTGTCCTCTCATCCGTGAACGATCGAAATGAAAAACTGTCTCTTCAAACCCCACGACGCCGCGGCGCCAGTAGATGAACTGATGATGCAACAGGGCCCGGAAGTAGGTATGCGGTGGCCCCCTGGTTTTCAGCCCCCTATTCACCCCCTTTCTCCGGATTTGAGAAATGCAAAAATGGTCGTGTCATGCCGTCGTTAGAGGTGAAAATCATGTGGTGCTTCCGCCTGGTCCGCCAACTCCGAAACGAAGCACAATCGTAAGTCGAGAAATAGAAATGTATGGGTACTGCTGTACACTTCGAGAGTCTAATTAGTCGGTGTGGGCACAAATGGTGATGATAAGCCAAACTCGTCATCACTCTCGACTCTCTCGCTGATCCTTAATGCGGGCCACCCTAGAATCCAGCACGGCGGCCTAGAATCTGATACCCCTGCTCTCAGTGCAAAGCTTATGGGTTCCGAAGCATTGCCTGCACACCCAATGCTTCGAAATACAATATTTCGATCAGAGCCGGCTCTAAACATCTTATCTCGCATAGGGGCGATTCATCGACGCGATCTCCCGCGCGATCTCTCCCCACTCGAGTTCCCTTCGGATACCTCGCCCGGCATCATGGACATTCTCAGCCCATTGACGTCTGAGCTGCAGCATCTCCTCCCACTTAAGCAGCTCGTACACGAATCTCAGATGAGGCTGGATGATAACATTGAGTCGTCGAGCACGCACAAAGCAGTACGCCCGCGGGAATGAGAGGTTAAGAGACCGCATCACCTCCGCGATGCAGATGGTCGCGCTGCGGGAAACGCCGACGCGGCAGTGGACCAGGGTGGCGGTGCCGTTCCGTCGGCCGCGTTCTGTGTTGCGGTTAGCGAGCGGGTCTTGGACGGGGGGAGTCCTAGATAATAACGTGGAAATTAAGAAGAAGAAGAAGAATAATAATAATAATAATAAGGACGAGCTATGTATATATGTAATACGCCAGGGCTAAGGGAAAGTGGATAAACAAACAACGTACCGATAAATTCCAAGCACTTCTCGAACTCCTTGGTTAGAGGGTCGATGCCGTTGTCCTGAACCTTCTCGACTGCGAGCACGTTATCCGCGCCCCAGGACTCGAGGTCACCGTCCCGCCACATAGCCGTCTCGCCTACGCTGAGGATCTGGTTGATGCCCATGGCTTTCAGCAGGTCCGGGTTGTTGGCGTGTCCGAGGTTGCCCAGGTACATGTAGTCGAGGATGCGGCTGGGGAACGAGCCGTCGAGGGAGGCGAGCCACTTAGGCTCGTTGCGCACGAGGTTCGTAATTTCCAGCAGGCTCTTGTCACTACAGACGGGGGATTCGTGGAGAAGACGGGGCGCGATCGTGGTTAGTAGGGATACGTCGGTCGGATAGGCGAAGAAGTTTCGCTTCATCTTTGTGTGCAGGTCCATCCAGGCTTCGTGGATCGGTCGGCCGGTGCTGTAGCTGAAGTATGCGATGCCGAGCATGGTAGACTCGGTATACCCATCAGCACAATGTATTAGAATCCTCCGCGAGGGACGCATCTCGACCTCGGTAGCAGAGGATGTATCAGACATGTTCGAATCACCGTCTACATCAGTATCCGACTTCATAGGCAAAGTTCCGTGCGAGAGGTGCCAGAGCCATTTGCACGTATCCAAGATACCATCAGCTTCGGCGTGAGACCAGGTCGGCGGAAGAATACTTCCGGATGAAGGGAAGTCGAGGTAAGGCTGTTTTACCTCGTCGTTGGTGCTCTCAGCAATTGCTTGCAGCGCACCAGGGTTCAGTCGACCAAGATCACTGCATTCGATGAGGATGTCATAAGACTGTTCCTCATCTCCCGAAAGTTCGGGCGTTGGGCCCATCCACACATTACGCGATATCTCGGTTGCTTTCGTCATTGAGTACATCTCCAACCGCTCCTGGTGGAAGAAGTCAACCACAGCACCTGTTAAGAGGCCCTCCGAATTAACGGCAACGATCTCGCCATGCTTGTTTTCAAATTCTCTGAACGGACTAACACAAATAAATGTGCTATATTTCGGGATAGACTCGTATTTCTTCCTCCATTTAGCTTGCGCCGACGCGATTTCCCACGCCCACTTACGGACCAGACCGGCATCTTCACCATACACTATGATATCAGAGGTTACGGCCGTCTTGGCAGCCTGGATCTGAAAGTTGCGAACGGAGAACCCCTCTCTGGGATCAACTTCGACGAACTCTCCATCGGAGCCCGATTGCATAAACTCGTTAGGTGCAAGTGCCCCTTTTAGGCGTGCGTGGGAGAGGTCACCATCAGCTTTTACCAACGTGATCCCACGTAAACAATTAGGTATCTGCCGCACAGTCTTGCTCCTCGAAGCAAAGAATGTCTGCTGGATATGATTGCTCGGATGCAATCCATGAAACCAAGGGAAGACTAGAGCGGGGTCTGGTAGAGGCTGTCTGGAGAGATAGTCCACGGCGGCTGCTACGTCAGCAGGGTGGATCTTGTAGAGGCATAGCGAACCCGATTCCAGTCGTTCGAACTTGTCAGGTGGATACAGTAAAGATGAGCGGCGCCGTTCATTATGTCGCTCAGTCTCGCGGCCTGGTGACGGTGGAGGCGTGTTAGGCTCACGAGCGGGTGCTGGGCCGGTGGGACAAACTGGTATGTGTTTGTTAGGGATGGGCGCGGGCGCTGCGCTAGAAACCTGTTGGGCATTGATAGCCTCGAGCGCTATTGGGCCAGATAAGGTAACGATGCCAGATGATGAGCGATGTGGAGGAATTGGTCTGGGGAGAGCGACAGTCGTCATTGTCCTACTCATAGCAATGCCTGTTTTTTATTATTTCTATGTTGTTTACGATGTAAGTTGATAAGTCTCGGTGGTGGCCGCGTGCCTCATATCAGAATCAGAATCAGATACACTACCCCTAACGCTCGAGCACCGGGGGTCCAGTGGTGTACCAAGGTGCAAGTAATTGCGGGGGAGGAGACGGGGGTGGTGAGATGCACTAGATTGGAGGGGAAGGATGAGGTAGATGGCGGGGGGGGAGGGGGGGGTTAAAGTTGATGATGGAGTCGGATATTAATTGGCGATGGGTACGATGTTACGATGAGCAGCTAATACGGACGGGCCTCTGTAAGTCCAAAGCTAAACTGCAAACCGTATGTTGTCTGAAGTATGTTAGCAGCTTGCGTGTAAGTCGTTAGGTGCCTAGGTTAGTTTATTGTAATGTAGGTAGGTAGTTATAAAATATAAGTTTTAAAAGTTGGGTAGGTATGTGTGTGTATAATTCCTTTCATTGGTGTTGAATGGGGTGATATTGTCGTGTGTTCCCAGGTATCATTATTGCTTAACAATAATAATAGGTGGGAGAAAGAGAGGGGAGATGGGAAATAGCATAGCAACGGGAACAGGAATAATGAGACGAAGAGGTGGGAAGAGGATGAGGGAACACAATAATACTTACATACCGTTACCTAGAAACCACTTGGAAATGAGGATCTAGAAAAAGGGATCTAGAAAAAGGGAGAATGAGCCAAAAGGGTATTGTAATGGATTAAAAGTGTAGAAATTGACAATGTGAGGAGAAAAGATGTAGATGTAACTACCTAGGTTAGATATAATGGCCAAAGGTGTGGTTAAAGGTTGGTTCAAGGTTGGTCGTAGGGCCGTAGGGTCGTAGGGTATAATCAAAGTCGTTTCACGCGTCCGACGACGTTGATTGGAGTTATAGCCTTATCGCACATCCCTGATGATGCATAACAGTGCCGTGCAGTATTCCAACGAGTGAAGCAGCACCAGCGGTAGATAAGACGACTTGATTGCTGGATAGGTGAATGGTGCGAGATTGGATCAGATGGGATCATGGGTGTAGTTTATCCCCCCTACCTTTACATCATTAACCTACCTTTTTACCTCTTACCTCTTACCTCTTACCTCTTACCTCTTACCTCTTACCTCTTACCTCTTACCTCTTACCTCTTTAACTACCACTTTTAATCTTCTTTATAAAACAGATCTACCTCCCACTCATTCGATAATTCCCCCTCTCCAATTTATGTATATACACATGCATATAACTTATTCATTCACTCGTTCTCTATCCATTGTACCCCTCCTAGTTCTACCGGTGCAGCGGGACATAATATTAACAAATTACATCGTTTCGTTTGCTCACAGTTGCCAAGACAGGACAGCATTATTACTATTAGCCTTGGCCTACACTACTCTATCTACCCTGTCTACCCTGTCTACCTTGTCTACCTTGTCTAGTGCTGTCCTTTGAGGCGAGGCCTTCCCCCCCAAAAAGGAACCCAATGTTGATCAATGCCGGGGCGAACTGCATATGTATATAACACCCCTGCTCTTACAGATCACGTTCAGACATCCTAACCCAGAAGGCCGCAGAAAAGTGGATAAAGGTTTGAAAATGTGATACACTATATGAACTCGACAAAGAAGAGATCTATCTCTTTTTAGATTGTCTCTAGAAGAAATCTGATACTGGCCCCCTTCGGATTTCCTTTCCCTATATGTAGGTCGATAGCCATATACAAACAGGTATCAGCTTTTCATAGGCTAGCCCGTATCTAGAGCACATGTATGTGGCTGATGCTTGTTACTTTACAAGCCCTTAGAAACGACAGTATGCGCTTCTTCATAGGCTGTCTTGCCACCTCGGCGGACATGATGAGTTTCGAGAAAAGTAATAGGGCCACGACGACGTACATATAACGGCAGCGTAGTACCAAACATATATGTATGTGAGCTGCAAAATTGCATGTCTATCAGTGAAACGAGGGGCAATCCCAACGTCGTCGAAACTGCAACAGCATCAGACACTAAAGGCTTTCGTCAGCCAATGAAGGAGAATGAAGAGGACGAGACCCCGCCCCAATGCGGCACACTGTTCTCTATCAGCAAATGTGAGTTGCCATATTCGCGGCTAGGGTTCCATTGACCTCGACCCAATCGTCAGGGACTTGAACAAAGCAACCACTAAGATGGATGACTTGGTCGTACTGGTTCTGCAATACACACCAGGGCCGTCACCACACTCGCCACCACCCTTCGCCTTCTCCGTTGTCAAGAACTCCAAATAACATCTCAAAATTCAACACTAATGCATACAATTAAGCATGCAGTACATTAGTGCCTACATGCCTACATACATAGGTATATCCGGTGAACCTCCAATTCGGCCCATGTCCCTTGCTTCTGCTCGCGTCTACATAATCTATCGATGCTCTTACTAAGAGAGCAAACATATGTTGGAACATGTCGATGGCGCTGACTACTGGAGCTACTATAGTAGTATGCATATTTGTCGGGAATTAGCTTGTGAAACGGCGCCTAATGACAACGGTGTATCGAGTTAATTTGATTAGCATTGCGCGTACGAATGAGTATAATTGGATTTCAAACTCCCTAACCTAAGCTCAACTCTATCTTCACTTCTTTCTGTTAAACTAGCTTATATTTGCAGATTATCCATTATGAACATCAAAGCAGCTCGGTACCTGTATATGACAGATCTTGCGCGTACGTATACCAAAGGCGAGAACATCTGAGTTTTGACAGACATGCATATATTTCATGTATGCCAAGGACAACTTGCGGCTGCAATGCAGAGGTCCGTCCGGATTTGGCCCGTCCACGGAGCTTATTTATATACCTCTTATGCTATGAGGCAACGCCAATGCTGCAGCTTTTCGGATCGTATACGTATTCGAATTCGAAGCAGGCTAGAGATAGAGGAGGTGAGGCACTTAATTATATAGTAGGTGAAATCTAAAAGATAGGAAAAAGGAGTGAAGGATGTTTTAAATTTATCATCTAGGTAAACTGTATTTATAGTCCGACCCTGATTACATACTTCGAAACCCACGATGAATAATAATAAATAAGGTCGACGGGTCGTTAAATGGATCTAATGAGATCTTGGAAACCTAAGCCAAGCTAGAGATTCAAAGCGTGGCTCGGGTTTGCGGGGGGTGACAGCCACAGCGGGGTGAAGCACCTAACTGAGGAAGTAGCTGGATGCCTACAGCAGGTACCTACAGCAGGTACCTACAGCAGGTACCTACAGCTTACAGAGGGTACCTACAGAAGGTGCATGTACCTGTCCCAGCCAACCTTGGAAGTCCCTGCTGTCCTTGCATCATTTCATTCCGTCCCATTCCATTTTATTAATCTATCTTCAGCATCCACGTCAACCACGTCACCGCCGCATACATACAAAGCTCATGCATGTGCATGTGGCCATTTGGTACCCTACTCAGCCAGTAGAGTCTTCGAGGTACCTTAGACCTTAGCGCTTCTCACCTTACTTCGACCTTCGATTTCGATGTTCTACGCAGATTCTTGTCTGTCGTCAGCTCCAGTCAGCTCTAGCAAATTTCCGAGAGTGCTCAAGGTCTTATTTGATTCCAGCTTCTAGCCCTCGTTTACCATGATGTTTACTTTTTCTATCTGCGAGTAGCCGTCTCTCCCAGTTGAGCAACCAACCAACTAAGCGGTCAGCCGAAAATAGAACTATAGGCACCTACATTATTCAAAGCATGCCTTCGTTAATACAATTGTTTCCCGCTAGTCCTTTGTACGCGATAATTTTTCACAGTTTGCAGGTGTCAGGGAGATAGAAGCTTGAGACTTGAAGTCTTGAGAAGTAGACCGGGTAGATAAAATCTAATACGAATCGATAATGCCTTCAACCACCATCAACACCTACTTCGGAGAAGTTCCGAAAGTACATAACCTTGGATCGAAATGCCGGTTTGCCCCGATATCCCATCCCCCTTGTTCTTCCGACATCGATGAAATTCCGCCGGTAAACGCCCATTACTTTTACGCGTCTTCCGCTCCTATCGATGAGCCTCTTTCCACTGCTCCTATTACTGTTGCCGCCGCCGATCCTAAATACATCAGGAGTAGCCTCCGTCCATTCTCGCCAGGGGATAACAACGCGATAGAGAAAGCTTGGTTGAGTCTCGCTTCGGATGCTTACCGCCAGAACCACTCCAATGCCCGCCAGAACCGACCACCTAGTCCTTTGCTTGCCAAAGCAAATGGAGAGAAGCTACGTAGTATCGTACGCCAACTCGCTGTGGAACATGCTGAAAAGCATGCACGCGAAGGCCCCTCGCGGGAAAAGGTCCAACCTTTCACTGAAGCTCTACCAGAGCCAGAAACTGCCGCGCTCTTATGCTGCAAAGAGCTTCTTGTTGATGTCGGTGTTGCTCTACGAACATCCTTCTGTGCTGTCGCTAGGCGAAAGCAGCAGGAGCTTAACCGAGATATGGTTGCTCAAGTTGTTATGAGCGAGATGAATACGTTGCATACCGATTCAACGGCTTCTGTCACAGAACGCAGCGCGCCGTCTGATAACATGCCTTCAAGCCAGTCGCCAATCGACTCTGTGATGAGATCAAATCAGCTTAACGAACGGCCCAATAGCCAGCCTTCAAGTATAACATCACAGTCCCCAACGACAGCTCAGTATCCCTCAATCGATAGAAGCTCCAATGTGCCAGTCCCTATGAAATCTTCGTTAGTGGACGACGGTATCTCAGGTAGACCATTTGTCCGTGTAGGCACGCCGGAAACTCCGATTAATTCTCCACCGGCGTCAATTCCGAAGGCGAATATTTTTCAACCTAGCAGACTTGGCGAGGAGACGAGGATTGAAGAAACCAGGCCGCCTCGTCCTACGCCAGTAGAGAACCCCTCCCCCTCTCCTAAGCCCGCGGGAGCTTCAAAGGTGATTTCGCGCGAAGTGACGGTTGGTGTCTCCAGGCTACACGAAGTATCTCTCCCTGCTTTACAGATGAAGCCTATATACTGGTCTCCTGTTAATGATATTGCTACCGTTCTTCGAGCTACTTGGTTCTACAGGTATTACATCAATGTTTCCACTGGTAGAGAACATTCACTAATTCAAAATAGAGATGATATGAGGCCAATTGATCCCACTGTAGCTAATCAGCTAGAAGCTGGATATCGAGAACTCAAGCCCCACACTGAGACGTGGAACGATGAGCTCAGGTGTGCTGTAGAAGTTGGCCCTCTAGGCGAGGAAAAAGTCTCGCATCCCTTATGGCCAAAGGCACTAGGCAAGTCCCCTAAAAAGGTCGACGATTTGATGGAGCCACCCATATCTAGCAATCCATTTTGTGCAGCTCGTTGTTTCCATGGAGAAGCAGCAGCTGAGGGTAGTCTGATACCCTCTCCAAACGAAGACAGCTCTTCTCCCATGCCAACCCAAAAGAAGTTTGAACAGTACCATGTAATATACAAAGATCAGACAACGGCGTATTTACTAAAGCCGAGCTTGAAGCCTTCGGCATATTACGGCCGTCGCCCAGTAGCAAAGATAATGAGAGGCTTTACGGTTGGCATCCCGGTAGTGAGAGGCTTTAACTATGAGACATGGATGAGAAAGCACAAGAAGCAGGAGCAACAATATCAACAAGCCCTATCAGGT